CTGCCTCCATCCACTCCTCAGAACGGGCAAGGCCTCCCATGGGGAGTCAACAAACACTGACACATAAAGTTAAGGCCGAACCATGTGTCCCCATACACAGAAAGGCTGAGCAAGGCACAATAGTCATCTGCCTGCAGAATGCCTAGTTCAGTCCCATGCAGGCTCCCCAGCTGCTGATACGGAGTTCGTTAGCCCCCATGCCATCACGTCAGCTGTCTCTGTGGGCTTCCCTGTCATGAACCTGACCCCCTTGAGCAAGGTCATTTCTAAGACTAATTACTGTTTGTTATGGAATCCCTTTATGGAAGGACTCTGATTTTGAGAAGTGATCAATGGCACTATGGTTGTTTATAAACTGGCTGTGATCCAGGTCCTCAGAGTCCCTTGTTGTTAGTGGTGGTATCTGGGATGGCAAGTGTATCTTAGAACACTGTACTCATCGCTGTATTTTGACTTTAGGTGTGTCGATGTAGCTGTTTTTTTTTTCAAGACAGGGTTTCTCTATATTGTTTGTCCTGGAACTCACTCTGTAGACCAGGCTGGCCTCGAACTCACAGAGATCTGCCTGCCTCTGCCTCCCGAGTGCTGGGATTAAAGGCGTGTGCCACCAACACCCGGCTGATGGAGCTGCTTTTGATTGCACTTGGGGTCATGATTTCCTTTGTCCAAAGATGACTTTTCTCACTACTTGACCTTCTTATACGCTTTGTTTTCTTCAGTTACGAGAAATGAAAAAAATTTACAAAATTCTTCTTGAATCTCTGGGCAATTTCAGCATCATACAACTCCTGTTCCCCGTGGATCATTCATGCTGGAGTAGAGATACCTTCTTTGGTTACTCTTAGTTCCATTCCGCCTACTCCATAGTAACTACTGCCTCCAAAAGCTCTGGAAAGTTATTTCCCTTCAATACCCAACCTCCCCCCTTTTTCATAAAAGATACACTATGTCCTCTCATGAACGCCTCACCTTAGCCTCAACTGCTACCTTCTCCTGATTCCCTTTGTAGTTTCCAGAAATTTTTATTCAAGATCTTTGTAACACTCCTGGAACTGAGGTTGGGTTTTAAGGGAGTTGTTTGGAGTTGTCTGGACACCTTCAGGTAATCCTGGACCAAATGATGTATGACTTCTTTTGTCCAGTGTGTTGTGACAGATGGTGTGATTCTCCTGCACTTCAAAATCTCCATACACTTCCTTTATGCTGTGGAACCATTGATGCAAAAACTGGCCGTGGTCTTGGTTGCTTGGCTTCTGCATGGTGTGCTCAGTGCACACTCATCCCAATGCTCAATAGCAGCCACGGTGAGCCCCCAGAAGCAATGTTACAGAATCTTCTCAGGCATTAATTGATGATAGGGTGCCTGCCAGTAGGCATTTTTGGGTGGTCATCAGGTTGAAACTATCGTGATTCTTACTGGATGATATAAAAAGTAAATTTAAACATGTGATTATTCCTGAAAATGGGATTACTGGGGCCCAGTGAGATTCACCACTCCAAGTTAGCATTTCTGTTGGTGTCCTTTATTTAAGCAGCCGTGATGAGACTTTGCGGGGGTTACTTCCCTGAGGTTTCCAGGAAATGGGATCTCATAGCAGTTTTCCGTTCTTCAGGCTCTTACAATCTATCTTGCCTGCTCTACCACACTGTTCCCTGAGTCTTGAGTACAGGATTTCTCTTATAGATAGATCTATTGGTGCTTGGTACCACACCATCACTTGTTTCCTGGGGTTTGGTCATTTTTTTCAGTAAGGTCTCCTTACTTTTGGAAAAGAAGTTCCTTTGTTGGTGGGTGACAGTTACAGCAAGGAAGTATTGCTGAGCACAGGAGAATATAGGCTTCATCAGGAGGAACCCGCTCATTAGTAATCCAGTAACAGATGATGAACCCTGTAATAAGGTACATTCAAGTATCATTAAACACACACACACACACACACACACACACACACACACACAAGGACAAGGACACTCAAACATGCATACTTATGTACAACAATTTTTTAAAAGGTCAGAAGCTGTGAATTTTAAAAATTTAAGACATGGGTCTATAGCCTTTAAAAATTATTTACATTTGTAACACAAATTAAACTGTAACTATATAATGTGCTTCTCAGAAAAATTAAATATCAAATACAGTTTTGGAAAGATAGTAAACAGTATGAATACTGCTGTGTAGAGTTACATTTTTTTCAACTTAACAGATGAATCCCATTTTTTTCTATCTTCATATTTATTTTCTAGAATAATAATAAATATTGTAACAGCATATCTAACAGATTTTTATTAAAAACAAATTGATTTTCATTGATTGTTATTATTACTTCTTTTCAAAATTCTTAGTAATTTTGACACACTTTTACAAATTGGAAACCAATGACATTATACTAGTCAGTGGAACAGGGCCAAATGTCTGACTTCCTTGCTTAATTCAAATAACAGCTGGAAGATTTTTCCTTGATTCGATGTACTACTTACAATGTAATGCCAAGTTATAACTCACTTTATATTGTAATCTACATCATTATTTCCTTCATCACTTTTTAAAAATGTACACAAGAATTAAACAATACATAGTCCAGGAATTTAGCATTTGGTGACATTCATAGCACCATAGATTGCAAGTCAACAAGGTGACATTGCTACATATAGAGTTTAGTTAAGAGCAGCTGTACAATGTTTCTTCCAAATACAGCCAGAAGAAACTAGTAATAGTAAAAGTATTCAAATAATTAGGAGATAAAAGTCTTAATGTGCATTATTTTTTACCTATATAACTAATTTAAATTTTATAAATTTATCTTTAATAGTGGTTTTAAGTAAAACAGACACATGAAATGCTTGGAAATTTAAACTGAGTCTGGGATCCTGCAAAAGCAGCAACTTCTTGATATATATTTAGATGAATCCCAATTTCAAACATTTGTAATGGGATGTTCACAGACATTGCCATGGCATGGGATCCACAAACACACTGAAATTTGGTATTTTCATTATTTTCCATCTTTTTCTATATAGATGATTATGTTTGAATTATTTTTTCTCCTCTATATTTTATTATCTTACAAAGTAGCAAGTTTCCTTAGGACATTTTCTTAGTTTATGTGTTTTTTATTGGCCCAAAAATAACCTGTCTACCATTTCATTGCCCGCATCCAAGTTTATACTGTCCAATGTCCATTATTCCTTCTTTCACTTCCAAAAAAATGAATTGTTTCATGCTCCCCATACCACACCCAGACCATCTATTGGGCTCCTTTCAACTTTCCTGGCCTCTATAAACACTCACTCTTACGTAAAGACACATTTCTAAAAGTTAGAAGCTATTAAAATTACACTTGGCACATTGCTATCTGTTCTTATGAGCTTGGATTTTACCACCTAGTAGAGTAGTTTCTCTGTTTCTGCTATAGCCATTCCCTAGGGTGCTCTACAGTGCCAGTGCCTGGGGAGGGGAAGACTGCCGATATCTGGTCATTCATAAGGTCTCTCCTCATATCCCTCCTCTGTTTAAGCTGCTTTAGATCCTGAGCTTCATTGCCTGTTCTTCCCCAATTCTTGATTGTCCAGCTGGCTGCCCCTGCGTAGTTTTTGAGTATGAAAAAAAAATGTCCTGTAGATTATTGGCTCAGCCAATAATGCTGATTCAAAATGCTACTGGCTGCTTTTACAGTGGACTTTATCCACTTAGATGAGGGTTTGCAGACACCTTCTTTCACAAAAATAGTTATGGTGGTCTACTAAATCATTACCCTCTTTCCTCTCATTTCCAGTTTAGACTGAGGAATGGTACATAATTATCTCAGACACAGTTTCAATGGAAACATAAACAGTACCCCAGTAGCTGTCATTTATCACAATTTCTCTTTATCTCTGACATTAGTCCTGGCAAATTTTGCCTATTTTTATTTGGTTGTATATTCTGTGAGATGTCATAAAACTAGAATTCTGGAACTCTCTGACAGGCCTGACCATGTGTTCACATATTGAAATTTTGCCTCTGTGCTGTGAATTTTCATCAGAGACAGCTCTTAAATTATTTTCATGTCAGTTGTCACACGAACCACCATTCATATGTGCGCAGTTTTCATAATAATTATTTTTAACTAATACAATTCTAGGTTTGAGACCCAAAGAACATTCAGGAACATCAAAGTCCAAATTAAGAGTCAGCATTAAACAACTGCCTGAAGAGAAACACTTCTCACAGAGCTGCCTCAAATTCATTCTAAGGAGAGCTTTAAATAGAAAAGAACCAGAAAAAAAGTTGGCAGTTGGCAGAGGGCAGTAAAGTGAGCAAGCAATTTAACACAATACAAAAACAGGCAGTTACCTGCACATTTCAACCACCAGTTTCTAGAAAAGGGTTGGGTACATTTCCAAGAGACTATTGCTTGAGGAGTAGGCAAGGGAGTGTCAGTTTCAGGACAAACAAAAGTGACTCCACCTTAGACAAGATGGAAGAACTTTTGCCCTGTCACAAGACCATAAATTCTGAGTGGTATTGTGAATTTCTCATTACTTATATTTTAATTTTAGGTAAGCTATACAATAAGAATCTGCATACTTAAGTTATGTGGTCATTATTGAATTTTCTTCTTTTACATAAGGACTAGGAAATATCAGTATTTGGGGAACTATGTTTGTATGTATGGACTGTCACTTTTCATTGTTTTTCACAAGCCAACATCATACTGTCCTGAATGCTGAATCTTCTAGGAAAGCTAATTTGTTTCTTCCATAAATATGTGCATTCTGATGTATTGAGAAGGTCCAAAGTGAATGGTTATACAGAATGGTACTACTTCTATCAAAATTTTTGGGGATTGTTATGGTCTCTTGGCTGTCTTTGAATTTCTGAGATTACATGACCTCCTGCTTACGCTCATGATAGATCCATAGTATAAAAGTATCCTCTTTTACCACAAGCTACAAACATTTGCTCTTTTTCATTTTGAACAAAGAAATATCAAGGACACAGTCTAAATAAAGTTGTGCTGAATCACAGAATGGACTTCTGGATGCTGGCAATCAGAATTATTTTATTATCACAAACCACAGTTGGAATTCTGGGAAATTTCTCCCTTATGTTCTACTACCTGGTCCTTTACTGCAGAAAATGTATACTCAAGCCAACAGACTTGATTCTCATGAACTTAATGGCAGCCAATGCCTTGATCATTCTCTCTGCAGGAGTGCCCCAAACAATGGCAGCTTTTGGGTGGAAGGAGATCTTGAATGGTTTTGGATGCAGGATCCTAGCATACATTCAAGGATTTGGGAGGAGTGTGTCCATTGGCATCACCTGCCTCTTGAGTGTCTTCCAGGCCATCACCATTAGTCACAAGGTATCCTTCTGTAAGGGAGAAAAAGCAAAACCTGCAAAACACATCTGCAGCTCCATTTTCCTCCTCTGTGTCTTCTACGCGTTGATAAATTTTATTTTATTTCTGTACACATTTTTAAAAATAAATAGCAAAAACATAACAAGAAAACGAGATTTGGGGTACTGTTCTATTGTGGGGAGTAATGAAATCACTGATTTACTCTATGCAACATTGGTGGTTTTTCCTGAAGTCTTCTTTTCTTTCCTTATGGCCTGGTCCAGTGGCTCCATGATTGTCATTCTGTACAGACACAAGAAAAGGGTTCAACACATGCGCAGCACTCATGGTTCCAGCAGAAACTCCCCAGAGTCCAGAGCCACTCAAAACATCCTGGTCTTGGTGTTTGCCTTTCTGGCTTTTTATACTGTCTCCTCATTGTTACGAGGCTTCATTGCTTACTTATATTATCATGATTGGTGGCTGTTGACCATCAATGATTTTATTTCTCTGTGTTTTCCATCTTTAGGACCCTTTGTTCTCATTAATCATTATCCCATTATGTCCACAATTACTTTGATCTGGATCAGGAGTAAAAATAATTTCATCTTATTTTTCAGTACATAAATGATGATACATTTGTGGGGGATCCAGTTTTTATGCACACATCCCCCTCAACACAGAAATTAAAGTATGTAATACCTTGTCTTTCTATGATTAGCAAACAAGTGAAAGAACTGTATAACAAGAACTTTGAGTCTTTAAAGAAAGAAATTAAAGAAGATAACAGAAATGGAAAGATCACCCATGCTCTTGGATTGGTAGTATCAACACAGTATAAACAGCAATCTTGCCAAAAGCAATCTACAGATTCAATGCTATCCCCCATCAAAATTTTTCACAGACCTTGAAAGAACAATCCTCAACATTATATGTAGAAACAAAATACTCAGGATAGCCAAAACAACCCTGTACAATAAAAGAACTTCCAGAGGCATCACCATTCCTGACTTCAAGCTCTACTATAGAGCTATACTCCTAAAAACATCTTGGTATTGGCACAAAAATAGACCGGTAGACCAATGGAATTGAATTGAAAACCCTGATATTAACCCACACACCTACGAACGCCTGGTCTTTGACAAAGAAGCTAAAATTATACAATGGAAAAAAAGAAAGCATCTTCAACAAATGGTGCTGGCATAACTGGATGCTGGCATGTAGAACACTATATATAGATAGATCCATGTCTATCACCATGCAAAAACTGAAGTCCAAATTGATCAAAGACCTCAACATAAACCCAGCCACAATGAACCTTTCAGAAAGAAAGTGGGAGGTAACCCTTAAACTAATTGGTACAGGAGACTGCTTCCTGAACATAACTCCACTAGCACAGACATTGAGATAGACAATTATTAAATGGGATCTCCTGAAACTGAGAAGCTTCTGTAAGGCAAAGGACATAGTCAACGAAACAAAATGCCATTCCACAGAATGGAAAAAGATAATCACTAACCCCACATCTGATAGAGGGCTGATCTTCAAAATTTACAAAGAACTCAAGAAGCAAGTCTCCAAAACAACAAAGGATCCACTTAAAAAGTGGGGCACTGAACTAAATAGAGAATTCTCAATAGAGGAGTCTAAAATGGCTGATAGATGGCAGGAGAAGTCCTTCTGTGTATATGCAAATAAAGCACTGTTGGCCAATAGGAAAGCAGAGAGGGAGGAGTGATGAGCAAGGCAGTCAAGACCATGCTGGTAAAACCCACAAAGACAGCTGACTGAATAAGGGGGAGCTCTTGAACCCCAGACTGGTGGCTGAGAGGCCAACAGGGGACTGATCCAGACTCCATGAATGTAGTCTCAGTGAGGAGGCCTCAGAAATCTCTGGGTCCTTGGGTAGTAGATCAGTGTTTACCATGGTGTACAAATGAATTTTGGGAGCCCATTCCACATGGAGGGATGCTCTCCCAGCCTAGACACATGGGGGAGGACCTAGACACTGCCCTGGATGATATGACAGACTTTGGAGATCCCCCATGAAGGGCCTTACCCTCCCTGGAGAGTTGAGTGGGCATTGGATGGGGGGCTGGAGGAATTGGGCGGTAGGTGAGGAGGGGAGGGAGAGGAAGCTGGGATTCATATGTGAAGCAAGCTTGTTTCTAATTTAAATAAATAAAAAAGGGAAAAATAATTTTAGAAAAATATCATGTTACTAGCAAAGACTTAAAATTTTTCCATAACTTGGCAGTTAACTAAAGAAATTATAAAACACGGTCCATATTGTTCTTGGTATAATCAAAGTCTTTTACCCTAGGATTATAGTAAGTAATCTGAAGGGCCCTCAAAGAAATAAAATTTAACAAATGGATGTATTTCATTTAGAAGAATTTCAAAAATTAACATATATTCATACTCTGAGTTTTAACAGACTTTAAGCATTAAGTTCTGAAAAGGCTGATTCTGCAATTACAAATTTATTAGTGGTAATGATTATAATGAGCATAGCAATACACATTAAAACTGATAATGCCCCTACTTATGATTTCAGAAAAATAAAACAATTGTTTATGTTATAACATAAAACACATTATGGAATATTGTATAATCCTGCTGGACAAACAGTTATTAAAATATCTAATGTGAAAAAGATGTTTATAAAACAAAAGGATGATATGAGGACTCCCAGAGACAGATTACATACTGCTTTACTAACTTTAAATTTTTAAATGCCATTGAAACAGGGACTACAGCTGCTAAAAGGTATTGGACCACAGGAAAAAGCTGCTGAATTGAGTCAACCTGTATACTACAAGGATGCTTGAACATCAGAATGGAAATTTATGGGAGATGTTAATGATGGGGTCAAGGGTATGCTTATGTTTCTAAAGGAGATAAGAAGTTATGGATGCTACCAAAATTGATTTAAAAAATCAGCAATACTTTTGCAGTCAAATGCTCTACCACTGAGCTATACCCCCGACACTCAACAACACTTTTGAATACCAAAAATTTGTTCATTGTTACACTGTCTGTGGTAACTGCACAGGAAATGGGGGCCAACCATACTTATTGGAACTATATTCCCAACACTCTAATTAGCAAGGGGTTATATGGATATTCCTGCTGTGGTCAATGAATCGTCTTGGCAACCTGGTCCTTATGACCACAGGGACCTGCTTAGCCTGAGATAGAAGGTAATGTGGTTATAAATTATACCGTGGAAATACAGGGAATTCCTATTTGTGTGTGTAATGGTACTCGATGTCTAAATACAACCTTTCAAATGTGGCTATCTATAGTTAATCATAGTACTACCCAGGATTTTCATGACAATTTTTATATGTTTCATGCATCTGGTTTTAGAGGACAGGAGATTATGAATCTACAACTTTGTGAGATGTAGGTTACCAACAAGAAATCTGACTGCACACATTGGCAGCAATGGAAAAGTGAGACACCTCGAGTGTTTATTAATATCTCCCACAGAGACATCATTGATTAGAGCCCTTACAGCTTCCCTTGTGGAAAATGTTCTCATTCATAATTATGGTAGCAGTTAAGTTTGAATGGAACTGTGGAAATTAGCCCTACTGTTGATGAATGCATCCAATGGCATGGAGTTAGAATATCATGTCCTGTGTTACAATCAGGCAATTCAGTTCAGACTGACTTTGTGGAAATTGGCAAGTGCCTTATGCCTTCTTAAATTATGGAAAGGCAAGTTAAATGTTAATGGTGGCAAGTGTACCTTGTTCTTTAGATTAAATTAAAGTCACACCATTGTAGCATGTGTACCATTACCTTATATATTATTGAAAGTGTCTATACAATGGCATCCCAGTATCACCTATGCCTGTTATCCCTGCTTCTTAAAGGCATTTCTCGCCTTAACAATCTGTTTCTATCTTCCTGGGTTTTACAAATTCACCAATTTAAACAAGAAAATCTAAAGAGTCAAGGCTGGGGTTCACATATGAGGGAGAACATGGAGCATTTGTTTTTCTGTGCCTGGGTACCTCAACATTCCGTCATGGATGAGGTCGGTTTCTACTGGTACCTACTCTTCTCTGAGGGACTATTCACCTTTAACAGGTAGGGGATTGGATGCGATTTCTACAATAATGCGTAGCCACTAATAATCTGCCCCTGGCCAAGCAAATAGCATCCAACCAATATTCCAGCAAATGCTAATTAAACACTGTGAGGCACGCACAAAGCAGGACGTGAAAGTAGGAAGGAGATGTATTGGGAAGAACAGTTTCATTGGGCAAGAGAGTAGAATGAAAGAGTAGAACAAAGCGGTGGATACTAAGACGTCCTACATAAATGTAGGTGTGTAAAATTAAGATAAAGAAGGATGCTCTGCAATGAACTGCTTTCTCCTGGAAATGCCTTACATCCGTGCACTTAGAGCAGCTGTGGTTCCCTGCCCAAGACCAGCCTCATCAGCATCTCATTAATGGACAGAGGAGGGACTCAAAAGATCCCAGCCACATCAGGGGAGCTGAAATCACTTCCGGGTTAAGGGAGGAAGGGTGGTAATATCCCTCAGCGGTGTAGCCACTAGTAGCCTGCACTTACACAAGTAAACAACCTCCCACCCTTGCTCATTCAAGAAGCTTTAATTAAACCCCATGAGGCATTAAAAATTAAGAAACAGAAGTGCAGAAGGGTTCTGGTGGGGAGGTGTAAATAAGAATCATGGGTGGATATAGTCAAAGTAGATGTGGGTGTGAGAACTCATGAAACACAGCTTTAAAACTTTAAATATCATGTCAGCACGAGAGAGGCAGAGATTATAGGGTTAACTGACTCTTGCGGGACAGCCCATGTGGCTGAACAGATCCCTGGGAGCTGTAGCTCTGACAGTTCTGAGTTCGCATATGGGTGCTGGGAATTGAACCCAGGTTCTCTGCATGAGCAGGCAAGGTTCTTAACCCCTGAGACATCTCTCCAGCCATAAATATTTCTTTGGATGACAGAAAGCATTTAATTGGAGGATCTTGTTTACAGTTTCAGATCATTGGAGTCGTTTTCCACTATGGCAGGGAGCATGGCATCAGGCAGGCAGGTATGGAGCTGTAGCAGTAGCTGAGAACTCAGATCCAAATCCCTAGACAGGAGGTGTAGAGAGAGCAAGCTTAAGTCAAAGACTTTTCTCAGACTCAAAGCAATCTCCTCGCTGTAACCCCTGTAAAATAAGAAGGCAAATTACACACTTCCAACATTCAACGGCACAGAATGTATATTACATTTCCAAAAGAGAAGGAAAGGAGCATAGTGAGGAAATACTGTACAAAAGAAAGACCAAAACCCAGCAGGCCAAAGTCCAAATTCTGCATCTCTATACCTAATGTCAACGGTTTACTAGATGGACCTTCATATCTCAAAATGGCATAGTTATCTCTCTTGACTCCATGTCTGTAGCTCTCCTCGATCCATATGCTATCATCCAGCATCTCCATCATCTTGGGGTCTCCAATGCAATCCAGACATCACCTTCATAGCTTCAGGCAATGTCCTTCCAGGCCTCCACACAGGTCCTCCACTGCTGCATGTGTGGTTGGCATTGGTGATTTTCCTTAATCTCAGAATAAGCTTCCACGGGCCATTTACTT